GGCTATTAACCTTTTAGGATGGTGCTATTAGTAAGAAATAAGAAAGCAAGTCCCAAATCGTTGTCTAGATTATCGAGGAATAAAACTAGTGCACTCTGAATTTATTGAAACTAGTTAAAGCGCGGACTACAGCGCATTCAAGCTAGACGACCAAACAAGTAAAAACAGCCTACAGTGAACTATAGTGATAATAAATTGCTTAGCACGGGACATAATGAGAGTAATAAGAGTAGCTGCAAAAAAAGGATATAAAATCTGGCTAATTAAGTTTTTGTGTGCTTTTAATGTATCAAAATTTGTTATAAATATTCTAATATTAATGAAATATCGAATGAGATGCTGGATCTGACGGATTTTAAAGTTCATCATCCAGAGCAATCTATCTGAGAGTACTAGGTTTTGAGATAAGGTAAAATTGTGATAAAGTACTGGGTCTTAGCTTTCGTCAGAGAAAATTGTTCAAAACTATTGCTGACTGATGAATCAACATTCAGATAGAATGCTTTAAAAAGCTATTCGTATATGAACGAACACTTCTATGTGATGTTATTCTGGGGGCTATAAAAGCAATGAGGTCTGAGGGAATAAAAAAAATAAACATAAAAATAACTCCACTGGCGACTTCTTGATGTCTAACCTGGTTTTCCTTGTTCTCTCGGGAAGCCAAGGAATTTCCAGTTAACGAATTGCAATTCATGTGTGCCATTCGCTTATCAGAAGAGCAGCTCAGCTGGTCCGAGTCAGCCATAGCAGATATAATAGGAAATGAAACAGAAATGTGAACTAGAGATAGCACCTTATCCCATGAGATCAATGAGCTTCCTGTGCCGCTACCTATACTATCGTCAGTCCAACTAGAAAGACGTAAATTGTCCGGCTTGAGGTCGGCATGTAAAAGATGAGCATGATGGTGGAGACCATCTATTAACCAGAGCAGTTCAAGACTAAGATAGAGAGCGATCAATTCCTCATGAAGCCGAGACAGACTCGGAGGAGCGATAAGCAGGGATGCTGTCGTCTTGGCATGACGGACTCCAGCTATTTTGATCCACAAATAAAAAAATAAAGCAGAAAACTGTTAAAATAACTATAGTCTTGGCTTATTCAAAGAATCTTAACATATGTATGCAATTTAGATGGACTTGTATCCCTTAAATTAAAGCAAAACAGCCGTGCACACGTAAAATGATTTTGGGATAGCCGTCTTAAAATACAATTTCTTTTCAAGTAGCAAAAATTATCTCATTTCATTCTAGATCCCAGGCATTGGTGATTCTAATTACTCGTGAATTATCAGTAAAAATGCTAAAAAGTGACGTGAAGGAATAGTAAGTTGGCCATTCAATATTAAAACGAAAAAGTTATGAAGAAAAAGACACTGAAATATTGATCGAGTGGATAAAAATTTAGAAAATGGGAGAATAAACATATAAATCAATCCGTTGTTAAGGCAATAAATGAAGAGTCTTACGTAAATATCAGAGTCAGAATAGATACGTTAGTGGTTTGGTTGTGATTATGCGTTAGTATGACGCCATTTTAGCAGTGACCAATCTTAGAGACAAATCCTGAAATTTAAACCTCGTATGGTGTAAGGCTCAAGGATGCATCTATAATTCTAACAAGAAAGGTGTTGGAGAGACTTTCAATTCGTATGAAAGCGCAGAACAGAAAATTGATCAAAGGGATTGCCTTCATTTGTCACTTTGATAAGTTGTAACTCTGTGCTAGCGATGGTGCTTCTCACTGGCAATGCCAGCGAAACATCTGAGAATGGGTCAATTCAACGATCCGATGCTGGAAAGCATCATGAATACTATGGCAGAGGACGCAGGACTAGG